ACAAACGTGTTGAGATACTTATGACCCATGGAGAGAGGAAAAAAGGCAATGCAGTGGGGGGCACAACACCCCAAAAGCAATCTGTGCGTAAAAGAGAGTGATTAATGAGAACTGGGAGGATTTGACAAGACCCCCTGGAGGAGGCACCTTTGAGCCAAAGACTTGGGATAGAAATTACAGGAAAAAAGCCAGCAGAGGAATAGTATATGCAAAGGCACAGAGGTGAGGCAGTTTGGGGAGGGAGACCAGGACCCGGCATGGAGGGAGCAGGGCTGAAATGATGGGATGTGTTGACGATCACAAGCCCAACTCTAGACCACAGATGACACATCCTCCAGGAAGGGCTTTGTCCCAGGAGGCAGCACACAACAGGACAGGTCTGGTCCCAATCCTGCCTGGCTCTTCCCATTTTTATCTGTGACCTCGTTCAGTGGCTCAGTGTCCTCATCTATAAAATGAGGATTATGGTGCCTACTCTTCAGGGCTGGTGAGGATTGCATGGTCAATGAGGTTGCATGTGTGAACAGCCTTGCACATAAGGAGGCAACCCCCAGAAATGGGGTTTCCTTTCTCTTTTTGGCTTCTGGCCAGAAGGCGGATACCCTTGCAAGAAGCTCTCGTGTGTGTATGTCAGTCGATTATAGAGTTAGCTACGAATGAGAGTGGCAGAAAGAAAGTTTATTGAAAAGGCTTGACAGGAGTGGGAGGCAATGGAGGGAGAAATCCACGACCCGGAGGTCAGGAAAAGTAAGGAAAGCAGCAAACTGGAAAGCCTGGGGATGCAGACAAACTTCACCAACGTCCCAGTTTTGCCCACAAACTGCCTTGAATTGTTTGTGTGTTTAGGAAAGCAGAAGAAACAGTTGGTTTTCTGTTCTAGGGAAGGTTCCGGGTCACGGTTGTGGGTGGAGAAGGGAGTGGGGGAGAAGAGGACAGGGCTGTGGAGTCACCTGCTGGACTCTGCTGCAGTGGAGGGGAGAGGAAGGCAGGAGGGAGAGAAGGTCACCACCCAGAGCGGGGAGCCATGAAGAGCCATGAGGTGGAATTTGGGGGCCCTGGTCATGATCTCATGGTTTGTGAGTTCAAGCCCTACGTCCAGCTCGGAGTCTCCTTGAGATTCTCTCTCCCTTGCTCTCTGCCCCTCCCCTGCTCGCATGCACTCTCTCTCAAAATAAATAAATAAACTTAAAAAAAAAAAAAGGAACATTATCCTGATGGATATCAGAGTGCCCCATGTGACAGGTGACACATAAACCCTTAACACATAAACACATAATGCTTTAGTGTTCATCAGTTTATTGGTATTTTTCCAAACCTGAACATGCTGCCAGTAGGTTTGAAGTACAGGGGTGGGAGGCTAGGAGGCGTGACTTTGGGCAAGCCACCTCCTTTCCAGGGCTGTCAGTATTGTCAGCTACACACGGGATTGGAGTGCGTGATCTCTAAGGACGGCCCTTCTCAGTCTGTCCTCCATCTGTCATGGGAGACCTGAGAAGCAGTGCAGGGGTGCTGGCCTATCCCTGGTGAAGTTTGAGGATCAGGGATATGAACAAAGCAATGAGTATCACTCACTCTAAAGAAAGGGAAAAATGCAGAATAAATCACAAACCATTATGGGGGTCTTGCCATTGCCGTTACGAACAGCCAGCATTCCCGGAGTCTGGAATTTTAGGTGAAATTGGCTCTTACACGTGGGACCACAAGAATCCAGCACGGCCGTTCTAAGATTTACTGGCAATCAGAGCTTACGTCTTTGACAGTAAACTTCTGCATCTAAGATTCTGTGACTACAAGTCCAAGAGCGTAAAATTCCAAGACTTTTTTCAGTCTCTTGTGGAGGGTTCAAACCTCGGAGCAGGTGGTGCCTCCTGATGGGCGGGGACCCTAGGTTCTCCTAAGCACAGGGAAGTCAAGCAAAGATTCCATTTGATGGGCTCTATTTCAGGGAGTTTGGGGGCCTTTCAGACCAAGTTCACCAAGGGTGAGGCCTGCTGGAAGACTGCTAGGCAGGTGGGGAAAAGCCCTGAGCAGCCGGGTGTAGACTTGCTCTTACCTGCCCGTTATCTCACTGCGCAGTTTTGCCCTCTGCTCTGACATGGCTTTTCTGGCTGCAGGACCTGAGACCCACTCCAGTCAATGTATGTACAGGGGGCTTTATTACAAGGATAGAGTGAGGCTCACGGCAACCCAAAGACAGGAACTCAGTCCTCAAGGATTGCGCACGGGGACTAAAGAGCCGCCAAAACGGGGGCAATTACCTTCGGTATCTTGCATCCATCTTACTTTTTTCGCATATTTGCACAATTCGGCCCTTCATCAGGCAGTTTCCCAGGGGCCTTACCTACTTCCCTGCGGTCCTTAATCAGCCCTCTGTGCCTCGATGGGCATGCCAAACCACCCTGGTTTCTCAACGTCCCTCCCAATACCCGAAAGAGAATCTAATTGGCTCGGCTCAGCAGCCAGCCTATGGCAGGGCGGGCCCGTTTTGAGCGCCCAGACCCGGCCCAATCAGCTGGAGGTGGGCCTCAGCAGGGCGGGGCCTCGAGGGCCCTTAGAGGGAGAAGGCGCGGCGGCCCCGCGGCACGCCCGAGCCCTCGCCGTCCTGCTCCATGGTCTCGAAGAGCAGTCGCACCAGCGCCGGCCGTCCCTGGGCCACCAAGGCTCGGGACAGTCCCAGCACCTCGCCCGTGTGGCCGCGCCACAAGCGCTGCAGCTCCTGGCGCAGGCGCGCCGCGGGGTACTTGCCCTGGGCACGGCGCAGCCACGCGTCCACCTCGCGGCCCAGCTCGGCGTCGCTCAGCTGCTCCTGGCTCCACTGCGCCAGCAGCGCCTCGAGCAGGCAGCCGAAGCCCTCGGTGTGGCTGGAGCCCGCGTCGTCCAGCTCCACGGCGCGCTTGAAGCAGGCCGCCGCGTTGGCATCCTCACCCTTGATGCGCAGGCACTTGCCCCGCAGCAGCTGCAGCTCGGGCAGCGTGGCGCCCAGCTCCGACTCGCCGGCCTTGGCCAGGAAGACGAGCGCCTGGTTCAGCGCCGCCTCGTCCACTGCCAGCAGCTCCTGCACGGCGTCCACGCCCATGTAGTAGTAGACCTAGGTGGATGGAGGTGGGGGGCGAGGGCAGGGCGAGCCTTTCTCTCTGCTCCTTCAGGGCCCAGGCTTGCTTTTTTAAAAAGTCCTTTCATGCATTCATTCCCACCCCTCCCTCCCCCACAATTCTTTGGCAAATTTCGGCCCCGCCCAGGGAAAAGGAGAGGAAGCGCTCATTCCGGTTCCAGCCCACAACTTTTGGTCATATAATCTTGAGCGAGGCAATCTCTGGGCCTCGGTTTTCTCATCTGTAAAATTATGATACTGTCACCTCTTGGAAATCGTCCGTTGTGCCCAGAAGGCACCTCTGGATAGAGTAATGGCCCGAGTGCTTTAGAAAGAGGTTGGTCCTGTTCTAAATGCCCAATGTGCATTTTCTCACACAATCCTCACCACGGCTGTAGGAGGTGGGTAGGTTATCAGGCTGGGGGATAGCTGTATTTCTCCCTGTGTCCTCAGTGCTCAGGCCTAACTTGGCAGAGAGCAAATAGATTTGCAGTAAGCCATTGGCTACTCAAGCCAAGAGGTTGCCTTACCTGGCCAATGTCCAGGTAGGTCTTGAGGCCTGGGCACACCTTGACCACTTCCTCCAGGTCGGCCTTGGCACAGGCCAGGTGGTTCCTGTCAGGCATGCCCCCGAGCCCCATCTTGGCTCGCTCCAGGTCGTGCAGGTAGGCTCTGAGGTGGATCTGTCCATAGAGAGTCAGCTCAGGGACAATGCTCCAAGCAAGGACCTCTGCCCTCCCTTCTGCCCTTTTTCTCAGCAGCAACTCAGGGGAGTTCTGTGGTGCAGTAGAAGGTCCCTGAGACTGGGACCCCAGAGTCCTACGTCCTAGTTCTGTGCCAGCTGTGCTCATCACACCCTTTCTGGGCCTTAGTTTCCCTATCTGTACAACGAGGGGGCGTTGGATGAAGCTAAGAGCCCCTCATTCATTCAACAAATACGTATTGAGTGCCCACCATATGCCAGGCCAGTGCTAGGTACTAGGGGTGCAGTGGTGACAAGTGGCTGGGGAAAAATAAACAGGGTGATAGGCTACAGGTGACTGGGGGAGGGGGCTATTTTAGATAAGATGCAGAACCAAACTTGTGAGAGTTCACATAAGCAGTTTGGAGGGAATGGCAGGTAGCCCCAACTTAAAAGCATCAAATTACAAATAATTCCAGACTCTTATTTTCATCCCCACTTCCTCCTTTCCCCCACCCTTGGAACATTAAAAAAAAAATCTAGAGGTTCTGAAGGGAGGCATGAGAAGGAGGAAGTAGGGAAAAGGGGTGATTGTTGTTGAAGGTATTAACGCTCTGGTTCTAGGAAAGCATCGCGAGGTGGGGGAGGAGGGAGCTCGGGCTTTGGAGCCAGTTGGACTTAGCTGAATTCCAGCCCCCCACTTATTAGCACGTGAGCTGGGGAGGATGTTGTTCAACCTCTGTGAGCCTTATTTTCCACATTCGAACAATTAGTACACTAGTATCTTCCTTGGAGAGTCCCCATGACGGTTGAGAGAACATATTCTAGCCAAGATCTAGCATGGTAGGTGCTCAGTTCATTCATCCATTCACTCACTCATTCATTCGTTCATTCATTCACAAATATTCAGCAAGAGCCTGTTATGTGCCAAGTTCTGCTCCACCAAGAGCCTGTTCTACACACCCAGGATACAGTAGAGAGCAACACAACAAAATTCCCTGTCCCCACGGAGCATGTATTTTAGTGTGAGGGAGAGAAAGACAACATACATGGTAAATAAATAGTATGTTGGGGAGTAATGCGTCCTAGGAAGAAGAAGTAAATTAAGAAAAGAGGAAACAAAATGTTGGTAAGAGGTTGGCATTTCAGTAAGATGGTGCTGGAAGCTTCCTTTTCGTCAAGACTTCCAGGAAGTGAGGAAGGAAGCCAGTCAGGGAGAAGAACATTCCAGGCAGAGGTCATTATCCATACCTCACAGTTTGGGGAATGGAGTTTTAGAGAAGTGGCTGGCCCCCAGTCCCAGAGTGATAGGTGGACAGGCCAGATTTCAACCCAGGTCAGTCAGACCATATTGAGGGCTAACCAAGAAGAGGCTGGACGTCATTGACGAGGTCATTTTGGAGGGATGCCTGCAGCGGGTAGGAGTCTCCTTCATTCTTTCACGCAACAACCTTACGGAATATAAACCTTGTGTCTTGATGACACCTCAGCTCCTTTCTACCATGACGGCTCTGTGACCTTTGGGCTCCGGCAACACAGCCTTAACCCCGGGCCCTTGTTCTCTGATTCCTGATGGCAGGATGAGGCGAAGCTTGCAGGCTGACTCACCTTGGCCCTTGTGCAGTATGCCTGCCAGTTGAGCTCCGGATCCCGTAGGACATCTAGAGCCATGTTGCAGGTGCCAATGGCCATATCCTGCTTCCCTAGGAAGTGGAAGATTTTGGCCAGGCGATTCAGGATGGGGGGTTGGTCCTTGGCTATCTCAATGGCCTAGGGAGGGGAGAAGGGTAAGAGCAAACTACTTGTCTGGTTATTTGCAGGAACCCCATCTCTGGGTAGAGCCATGTCACTTCAATGTTCTTGTTCCCTAAATCCACCTGCCACTAGGTTTGGTCATATGGAACCTAACACTTTAGGGTATGACTCACTGGCACCCAGCTCCCGAGAGTCAGACTCTCATGCTCCCCACCACGTTCATGTGTCCCATCTGGTGAATCCCCCCATACCCTAGGCAAACCTCTCTTCCTCAGACACATCCAGTGCAGGCTCCCCAATTTCCCAGGGCAGATGGAAGGAGGTGCCAGAATCGGCCTCTACCTCCCCCATACTTACACAGTGCAGTGTTTCTCTCTGGGCCACAGCACTTGCCCCCTATATTGTTACTGACCACTGCCTGTCCTGTGTGGGTCGCTGTCTCTGAGATAGTGGAACCTGCAGGGACTTCCTCACTGTGCCCGGGCACAGAGTAGGTCCTCCAGGAGGGGTGGAGGCAGTGTGTTTGTTAAATTGGATAAAAGCTCTCAGAATCCTCATGAACCAGCCTTTATGTTCTGTTCTACCATCTCTCATCAAGGACTTGCTCATTAATCCACCCACCAGCAAACATTAGGGATGTGCCCCGTGCAGGGCTCTGTGCTGAGGGCACAGGTTAATGAATACTATCCTGGGGTCTTGGGACTTGCCTTAGGGTCACATGGCCCAGGGACAGAGCTGGCACAAGACCCCAGCCAAGCCCAGCTTCTTTCCACTATGTCACTGGGTGCAGGGAGGGACAGTGAGAACCACAGCCTGACCGGGAGAAGTCTGAGGCGATATCTGAGACATGGAGAATAGCTTAGAAGACAAGGCTGGAGAAGTGGGCTTGGGGTGGACGTGGGATTCCGGAAGAGGAGGCTGGGGGGGGTCAGGCTCCATCCCGGTTTGACAGGTGGGTGTGGCCAGGGGCCGTACCTTGCCAAAGCAGTCCAGGGGGTCGGTTCCCGAGTACCCGCAGTCGTGGACACCCATGGGGGTGGTGGAGAAGGTGTCCTTCCTCTCCAGCAGCATCCCGAGGTAGCACCAGGCCAGAGCTGGGGGTGAAGTGTGGGAGAGGGGTGTCTAGGAAGCAGCAGGGTGGAGACAGGGAGGAAGCCCAGGACGAGGGAGGGGGCCGGCTCCACGCAAGGTGTCAGCCCCGAGGAAGATGAAGGGAGCGTCTGTGGCCTGAAATCACCAAGCAAGGTACAAGGTACCTGAGTTCTGTGAGATGAATCAACAAGTATATGGGACAGAGGTGGGAGAGAGAGAGAAGCAGGATCCCCAGAGGGAGATGATGCCAGAGGTGGGGACAGTGATGGTGACCGGCAGGGCTAGTGACTGGAAAAGGGAGAGCCAGGCAGAGGCTGCTCTAGCACCTGTCCCCGTGGGCCCTACCTTGGTGGTGGGGGTCCGAGGACTTGAGCACTTGCCGGAGCAGGGCCAGCGTGCGGTTGAAGGCAGGCAGCCTCTTCTGCTCCTCACTGCCCAGCTCCAGGAAGATGCCATCTAGCCTGTGGCCAAGAAGGGGATGTGGGTGGCTGGCACCCCCTCCCAGCTGTCCCTGGGGTGCTGTGAGTACTCCCCAGGCCAGTGGCAGGGAGGGGAACTTGGGGAGCCCTTGCCATGGAAATGGGCTCAGCCGCCTCTTCCCCGGGTTCCAGGCCATGCCCCCCGCCCCCACCATCCAGTCCTCCGCTCCCCAGCCTGACCTGATGAAGAGCGTGGCCATGGTGAAGTACCAGCCCCTTTTCTCCTCCGCTGGGATCTAGGAAAGCAGAGAATGGCCCGTGGTGCTGTTATTGAGGTACTCGAGCCATTATTGTTCATAGATTCCCACACTCGCCCCGAACCCCGAAAAGCAGGAGAGGACACCTTTGATCATGGTCCTGGATCTGCCACTGGTGGCCGAGTGACCTTGGGTGAATCACTTTCCTTCTCTGACTATGGAGGCTTTGACAAGATAACCTGTGTGAATGTCCTGAGTACGGTGTGCATCGAGGAGCAGGAGTGGCATATGTTTCTTCCCCTCCATCTTGCTTTTCAAGCTAAGCTTCCCTCCCCCTGACTCCCCTCCCTGTGCTCTGGAGTCCCCCATTCCAGGGCCCACATGCCACTGGTCACCTTCTTGTCCTCCCCCCCCCC